TATTGATTGTATTGTTCAGATATTCTATATTCCTCAACTTTTTGCCTAATAATTCTTCTGTCAGGTCCTGGAGGGGAGGGGTGTTGAAGTTCCCAACCATAATCATAGATCCTTTCCTTTCTCAGCTTTTGCAGTTTTTGCTTCATGTATCTGAGGCTCTGTGGTTTAGTTGGTACACGTTTAGTGTATCTTCTTGGCATGTTGGTCCTTTTTTCATTACACAATGTCTTTTGTCTCTGGTATTTTTCTTTGCTTTGAAGTTCACTTTATCAGATATTAATGTTGCCACTCTATTCTTTTTTTATTATTAATGCATCCATGGTATGTCTTTTTCCACCTTTTATCTACCTGTGTATGACTTTGAAATTGGTGTTCCAGTTTCTTATATGCAGCGCATGGTTGGATTTTTAAAATCTACTCTGCCAATCTCTTTCAATTGGTATATTTAGACCACTTACATTTAAGATAATTATTGATATGTTAACACTTTAATATGCTATTTTGTCATTTATTCTCTTTGTTCCCTTTTCCTTTTACTATTTTTTTCTTTACCTTTCTTCAGATTACCTGAACATATTTTAAGATTCCATCTTGATTTATTTATAGCACTTTTTGGTTTGTCTCTTAGTGTTGCTTTCATAGTGGTGGCCCTGGGTGTTATGTTATATTTTTAACTGTGTACTGATACAACATTTACCATTTTAATAAAATATAAAAGCCTTACTTCCATTTAGGTCCCTTTACCTTCCCCACCTTTAAATATCATTGTTTTGAGTATTAGATGATATTATAGTTTTTGTTTCAATCAGCAAAGATGATTTTTAAAAAATCATAAGGAAAAGAATTGTCTATTACATAGATTGATACTACTCCTATTTTTTCATTTTGATTCCTAATGCTCCAAGTTTCCTTTTATCATTTTCTTTGAAGAACATTTTGCCAGCCTTTAAAATGTAGGTCTGCTCATCACAAAAATCTTTTAGTTTTCATTCATCTGTGATGTTTTTATTTTTCCTTCCTTCCTAAAAACAGTTTTTTCCAGATATAGAATTACGGGTCAACAGTTCTGTTCTTCAGCACTTAAAAATATTTTGCCATTTCCTTCTTCATGGTTTCACAAGAGAAATCCATTCAAATTGGTGTTCCCCATACAGGGACTACATTGTATTAGGATTTTTAATTTGCCTTAGTTCTCAAAAGTTTAGTTCTGATGTATTTTTGGCATGGAGTCTTAGTATTTATCCCAGGGATTTACTTTGGCTTGAGCTCCCTCAGCTTCTAGATTCATTCAATCTCTAGGTTGTTGTCTTGCAACAAACTTGGAAATTTTCCAGCCATTATTTCTTCAGATGCTCATACCTACTCATACCAATGCCAACGATATGAATATTGGATATTTTGTTATTGTCCACAGTTCCCTGAGGCTCTGTTCATTTTTTCTAGTCTATATTCTATTGCTCAAATTGGGTGAATTTTATTGTCTGTCCTCAACTTCACTGATTCATTAATTCTCCATCTTCTCTGCTTTACTGTTGAGCTCATCCATTGAATTTTCATGTTTTTCAGTTTACTAATTTCAATTTTTTGATAACTTCTATTTGTTTCCTGAAATTTTTTTTTCATTTAAGAGAATTTGTAACTGTTATAGCATTTTTATGATATCTGCTTAAAAATTCTTGTAATTTAACATCTTATTCATCTCAGTATTGGTGTCAATTATTTCATTTTTTATTCAAGTTTTGATTTTCTTGGTTCTTGGTTTGTATCCTGGACATTTTGTCTATCATATTAGGTCACTCGGGGTCCTATTTAAGTATTTTATTTTATAGGGACTTACTTTATTTAACATATGAGTCTTAGCCTACTTTTGTGGGCTGGGATTCCAATGGTCTTGATGTATTTGGTGCTGCTGGTGCTCACACTAGTCTCTGGTGATCATGCCTGAGGGGGAGGAATTTCCTCTAGCTGTATTGCAAGATATCCCTTGGTGAGGGAGGGTCTGGGGAAATCCTTCTATTGGTGCCCCCCAGCTAAGATTTCTCTAGGTCCAAGGGGAAAACCTCAGTTCCACAGAGACAAAGTAGCTCCCAGGTTCAGGCTGCTTTTTCTTGACTCCACCAGTCAGCCCTATGGGGACAAAAAGCTTCCTCAGCTGGGCTACCTGCTTTACCAGGGTCTCTCTTATTGGCTCCTCCACCCGTCTCAGTATCTCTCCATGGAAGTCTCTGGTGCAACAGGGAAGGAGAGTTCTTCTCCTAGTCATTTTATGTTGGCATGTCTCCCAGTTGGTCCTCCTCACCTGAGGTTGTCATAGGGACTCCTGCTAGGTCCAGAGGGAAGAAACTACTGGGGTACCTTCTATTGCTAGGTGAGAAGTTGGAAAATGCCAGATCTGGGTGGCCACCTTCTTTTTGTTGGGGATTTCAAGATGCTCTACCTCTTTGATTTTCCTTTCGTCCTGTGTTCCCAGACTAGTTCACCTTCTCTGCACCCTTCACAGTTCTCCTTTGCTTGTTTCTTAAGTCATTTCCAGAGCTTTTAAAGTTGTTCTTAGTAGGGAAGAACAAGGAAAAAATGGTCTATGACATCTTGTCCAGACTGGAAGTCCCTTACCTACTGAATTTTATGTCATTACCTATTTTAAAAAATTTGTTTATGTTTTGCTAATTTAAGCCCAGTTACATTTTAAAAAATCCCAAAGAAACCTTTGCCTAATGCAGGCATATAACTTATTTTCTCCATATGTAATTAATGAGACTGAGGGAATAAGTGGATGTGTCAACACAGTAGAATCTAAGTTAAGCTTAAGGCCATTCACACAAACATATTGTTGAGGAACACACACACACACACAACCTCTTTTCAGGCCATCTCCTTCCAATCTGCTCAAGGAGTCTTTGTGTCTAGCACAAATGGATTCATGAAGCCCCCAAAGGGCAGGAGCAATAAAGCTTACTACAGGGGGTCATAGCCCCCACTCCCTGAAATTCTCTGAGCAGAACCTATCTGGGTACTTCTACTTGGTGAATCTCAACTCTGCAAGACTGAGCAGTACCAGGAGAATAGTGGCTCTAGAACTACACAGTTGGCCTGGCTCTTCTCTGAGCCTTAGGAGGGAATAAAACTTAATCCAGTCAAGTGCACCAAAGTAGTAATTTGAGGCAAAATGTATAGTCCAGTACATTTTCTTTCTTTCTTGTATCTTTATATACTATATTGTTCCCAAGAGGCATTTAAAGTGATTTTAATGGAAACATAATATAAATATGAAAATATAAATTAGATGTAGGCAAAAAAAAAGAGCAAGAGAAAAACAGGGGACAGGCATAAGTCTGGTGCAAAATTGCTTCTCTGTAATTTTCTACATTTGTAATACATAATCCATGAAGGGCACATTGCTGGAGTATGTCTTATGCCATCTCTGACTGGACCCTCAGGAACACTGAGGACCAGGAATGGGTGTGACATGGTGGGCTCCTAACATGGAGATATGCTACAGAGATAAAAACAAGCTCCCACAGAAACATCCCTGTAATACTCAATAGATTTTCTGCTCCTGTAATGTTTAATTTCCTCTGAAAGATTCCCGAGTTCTCTCTTTTAAAACGGCCATAGTTCTGAGCAGTGAAACCTAGCTGAAGAGTCAGGCTACTAAGTTCCTGAGGGATCATATCCCAGGCAGGATGTAATCACATCCACAAGTCAGAGACTATCTAAAAATGCAGAGTGTGAACCAAACATAAAACTACAGTCATCAATTCCTCAAACTCTTATTTTTTATATTCTTCTATTTGATTCTCAGAATCGAAGCCAAAATTGTTAAATATAGACTTGTAATGTCCCTCCCAAGACAACTGGAAAGCCCCTCCCAGGTCAGCTGGAAATTTAGGTGATGCTGATGACAGGCAGGAGCTGAGACGTAGCCACATAAGTGTTTTGTGCTCGGTGACTAAATGACCACACTCCTTCCACTATGGGAGCTGTCTCTCTCCTGGAGAACAGAAGAACACAAAAAATCCCGGTCAGCTGGGAGATACTGTCTATTCACACAATACCCAAGGTGTGCTTCAAGGTAGTGCAAATCCGAGGTGAGGGCAAATGTCACCCTCTACTGGCCAATTGCATTAACACTTCTAAAGGTAGCTGTGAGCTCTAAAGACTTCAGAGGCTAGGAAAGTATATGGGACAGTACATCTGAATCTATAAAACTTCCTTGACTCTTCATGAAGCCAGTCTCTTCCCCAGGATCAGCTTTCTCTTCTTATCCACCTCTCTGGAGCCTCTGTCAAACACCTTTAAATTCCTGCAAATTTCTTACAAGCTCATTCACTATGTTTCTTACTGATTTTTAACATCCTCAAGTCTCCCTTAGGCTGAAAAAAAAGCACCCTGTTCCATTCATCAGCCCATCTCCCTGCCATTCATTCATGGAGACATGGCTTGGTTCTTCTTTTCCAATTTATAGTCTCCTGAAACATTTCCTCTCAGCCCTTTTTATAAAAGTTTAGTTTTATACCTTAGTATTTCTCTGAAGTTCTTTTTCAAAGATCACTAATTATCTCTTCCTGACCAAATTCAGTAGCTTTTCTTCAGACATTATTCCACTTGGTATTTCATCTTTTTCAAGTTGCTCTGTGAGGGCAAGGACTGTTTGCATCCTATTTCTCTATGTATTGTAAGGGATCATTTCTATTTAAGCTTTAAATATCTATAGCTATAGTCCATGAACATGACTTTCATCTGAAATGGCAGGAGAAGTATCTGTCCCCAAACAACTGTTCAAAATGCACTGTATATTCATGTTGCTAAAAGAAAAACGTGTGTGTACATTTTATTAGTAAAATGAGTTTCAGGGAGCTCAATTTCTAAATCAAAATGCTGTGGGATGAGTGTTCTCCGACACAAAGGAAAGCAATGAAATGGGGCAGACGAACTTGTCCAGGGCTTGCTGAAGAAAAACCTAGACATGATCAAGGAAAATAGAGATTTCATTGAAAATGGAAGATTAAGTACCCAGATCTAAAAAATATTTTTTAATTAAATCAAAGTCAATTAAAAAGAAAAAAATCTTGATTTCTCCACAGAAAGTTTAACTGGGAGAGGAAAGATTGCAGTAGTTTTCCTTTCCATTAGGCAGGTGTGTACAGGCCAAGTTTGGAACAAACCAGAAATGCTTTGGGAAGCCCTTCCTGACAGGGCAAGATTAGAAAGAAAGACAACTGATTTGAAAGTGGCCAGGAACACAGGTGCTACTCAGTCTGAAACCAGAGAAGTTTAAAGCTTGATGTTTGTTAAAGCTTCTTATATTTCTGAGGTTTTAGCTTTTGATGGAGTAAAAAGACCATCAGAACTGAAGTGATATTTTGGTTGGAGTCCTGGTTCTGAAATCAAGTGGGAAGTGCCTCAACCTAACTTCCATTTGCTCACAGGCACTGTGCAGAAACCAGTTCTTACCTATTTTAGGTTCCCATGATCACCTACATGGAAATCTTTGTCCCTTGGTGTTTGCTTGTTAAACATTAATCTTGAGCAAGAAGCTTCCACGTGATCCAAAAGATTTTTTGACTTATTCATATGACTATGACTATTTAATAAAGTACTTTAAATAAGTATTTTTGAAAAAGTTATGGTAAAGCTGTAACTGCTGAAAGCTTGATTTAAGAAAAGAGTGATTCATTTCATCTTATTTACCAACTCAGGGAGTAAGCAGAAACTTCATTATACATAATCAAATGTCACCATCTAGTGGCCGAATTGTATTACCATTTCTGAAGTTGGCTGCAAGCTCTCAAGACTTCAGAGGCTAGGAAAGTGTATGGAAGCACCCGGTCCCACCAAGGAAAGAAGCAAAGAGCCGGCCCTGGAGACTTTCACTTCATTAAAGGCATTCAAATTTCAAGTTACCAACAAAACACTGTGCCCTTCAAACCCACCAATCTTCTAGATCAAGCTTTGGTCTGGGCCTGTGGTCACTCAGATAAAGTAAAGTGAGAACTCTATGGGAGACAAGCTCAGAGAGATACAAAACAATGATGGCTTTTTCAATTATCTTGAGGGAAATCTTTGCCTCTTGTGAGCAACTTTGCAATAAAAATTTGGTTTGCTTGTGGTGGAATTACCGGAGTATACATCTTGATGATAAAGGTAGTTGTGATACTTTCAGAAAATGAGGAAGAAATAAGGTTCCCAGAAAACATCATTGCCCCATGTGACTGCCCACTTCTAATAGGGCCGCATGAGTTACTGAAAAGGGCACAGGCTTGAGAGTCAGAGGGCTATGTTCAAAGGCTGGCCTCACTCCCCCACTGGATGTGTGATTTGGCACATGTTCCATAGTCTCTCAGGGCTGTTGCAAGGATTAAACAAAATAAGGCTTGGAAAGGGCTTCCCCCAGTGTCCAGAACATAACTGATGTTCCTTTTACCCTTCTCTCACTTAAAAGAAGCCATATAACTTAACTTGAGAAGAAAAAAACTTAACTTAGAGGAAAATAGGATTTGGATTTGGGGCCAAAAATTGGCTTTTTAAATTACATTTTTCTGTTAGAATGAAATGAGAATTAAGTCACTATATGACTAAAGTAACAGCAGTTGTCCTGGCTCTGACTGATTCTGTGTTTTCTTTCAGGATGTAATTTTCTTACTGGTAACATGGAAGAAAGAGTTGCATCCACTGTGAAATGCAGACAGCAGTGCAAACCTCACAGGGTGCTGTAAGGATTAAGTGAAACGTTGCATAAATGTCCACAAATGAGCACTACGCTGTAAGGATACCACTAAGCTGCACTATTACCGGTCTTTGCCTCTCTCAGGGGACGTCTGTGAGAATATAACCACCATTGATTATTTCAGAAATGCCTGCAGGCCTTCACTACCTTCCTCACGAATCATTCTCTCACCAAGGTTCTTCCCTGAAAACCAGCACTGTGTCTGTTCCTTTGTGCACACCATGTATGTGACTGGCTTTTAAACAACTCACAGCAGAATTTGCATTTCCAAATGACAGCTGCATCCTTCAGAGTGTGTGAGAGACTAAACTTCTAATTCCTATACTATCCCTCTGCTCTAGGAACTTCCTTCTGAGCCTACTACACGTTCCTTTACCTCAGGAGAGGCAGAACAGAAAAGGGCGTTAGTCAGAGAGGTAGATCTTTGTGGGTGGCGTGTAATTTGGCCCTGAAGGCAGTTTATGAATATTTTGGGGCAAGAGCTGGATATAACTTTGCAAAGTGACAACATTAAGGAATATCATCATTGGGTATATTAATTATAAAATGATGTTTTAAGATATATCTTTTAAAAATAAAGGTCTATGATCAGAGGCCCACATGGCCTATGGCTCTCTTTGTGCCCCTTTGTGCCTGGTCAAGTATGACTGGCACCCATGGGCACCTTGCCTATTCACAGAATCCTACAGTTTTGACACAAATTTGGGATACCAGGCTTTTTTTTTAAGTCAGTTTAATGATCCTCTTCAGGGATATCTCAAGAGGGCCTCACCTCAGGTATAGCAGGGACTTGCACACCCAGAGGTGGCAAAAATGTCCTGTCAGGCTGAGTGTTCTAATTTGGGATATGGAAATAGGGCTGCTAAGAAAAGCAAGGCGATCTGACAGGAAGTAAAGCCTTAGCCATGAAGGCCTGCGTTCATGTCTTAACCCCACTAATCACAAGGTGCTTCATTATTCTAAGCCTCACTTCCTCATCTGCATACTGGGGGGCCCTGCCTGACCTGCCTCAGGGCACTGTGCTGACGGCTGGACTGAGGATGAGAAGGCCCTCTGTCAGCATCAAGCATAAGCCTCTGCTCTGGCCTCTGTGCCTACTGGGTCCCTTCTAGCTCTCACGAGAGGTGGCTCACCGAACCCACAGGTTAAGGTGTGCAAAACAGGGAAGAGGTACCCTCAGCAGCGGCACGTGAGGTGGCCTCTGTCCGTGCTGACCATGCCTGGCTCAGGGGTCCTTTCTGCCCATGCCCGACCCTCAGCAGGATGACCCAGGCTCACCGAAGGCCTCTCCACACTCCCTTTTTTCCTGCCATTCTTGCTTGAGATGACATCCAGTGAGCGGTAGCTGGGTGGCTTCTCCTCTGGCCAGTTTGGGGAGTGAGACCTGCGGCGGTGGGCCGCCCAGCTCTGGGGCTGCCTCTCCTTCTCCTCCTCGGAGCTCCAGGAACTGAGGCTTGAGGGCGGGGGAGGGGAGTAGCTGCGGGGCCTTCGCCTCCGGGGCCTCTGCGTGCTCTTGTGGGGGCTAGGCCACCGGGGTCTCTCTGCATAGCAGCTCCTGAGAGAAGGGTGGTTTGGCCGCCAGTGGGCCCCGCTGGACAAGGGGCCGTCGCTGAGGCTGTCTCTGTCTGACCAGGCCGCAGGTGGCCCGTGCGGCCTAGAGCCGTGGCGCCTTCCACTCCACAGCTGGTCCCGCTCCCTTCTCTCCAATGCCCAGTGCTTAGGATCCTGGACCTGGGGCTCCTGGTGGAAATCAGAGGAGTGGCGTTGCCTCCTCCCCTCTCTCAGACCCCAGGGCCCAGGGGGAACTGGGGTGAGCCACTGCTGGTGGGAGGAGTTGCTGGTCCTCTGTGAGGACGGCGGGTCTCTGATCAGCGGGGGCAGGTGGATGATCCTGCGTTCTACGACCTCCGAGCCGAGAGAGGACAGCATGCTGCCGGGTTGGCCAGCTACAGCTCTGAGGTTAGGGGGTAGTGGCTGGGCTGCGTTAAGGTTCTGAAGCTCCTTCTCCAAATACTCCAGGATACCACTGGTGACGGGAGGGTGAGTGGTGATCTGGTTCACTGGCATCTGAGGGAGGCTGGATCGCAGGGACAAATCTGAATAGAAACAAGGATAAGGACATGCAGAACTGCCAGCCCAAAATATGCTATTCACAATCAGGGCACCAAAATGCCATGTCACTTAGCTTGCATCTACCCCCTCCCATTCTCAATCAGAAAGACACCCACCATATTGTTTATGAAGGCCCCAGTGCAGCCCGTGTGCCTACCCTTGCCCTCTGCCCTCTCCCACCCTAAATTTCTGGCAAGGATTACCTCGCTGCAGCAGCAGGTTCATTGGATAAGATGAAACCTGGGAGCTCCTGTCTGCCCCCCAGTATAGGGGTTTTTCCATCATCTGAGGGCCTAGGGCCTGAGCCTGCTTCATGTATCGGTGGCGGGCCAGGGCTGCAGGGGAAAAAGAAGAAATGCAGACCCTCAGCCAGGGCAAGCCCCCCACCTCCCACTTCACTTCTCTCCACCTAGCAGCCTTGCCGAGCGGCCAGTTTCTCTCCTCAAAGTGCATTACGACCTATCCTGCATGGGAGAAAGAGTTCAGGGAATAGTAATCAGTTATTCCTCTGGCAAGGAGTTGGAATAAATTAACTAGGCAAGACTGTACTACTGCATCCCCAGAAAGGATACTCTTAAACTTGACTTTCTAGTCTTGAAGACATTTCATCATCCTACTCACTCCCAAGGTCATCTAAAATGTACAGGCAGATACACAGGTATTAGTGGGCAATGAAGTCTGGGGTGACAGGCCACATACAGAAGGTACAGAGGCCAAGCCTTGGAGAAGGCTGTGCGCCAGGGGCTGCCAGGGAAACTCAGGGCTGCCTGCTCAGAGCAGAGCAAGAAAAAGTGAAGGACATCAATGCTGAAGTTGATGGGCAGAAATACTGGTGAAGGGGAGGAGACTGAAGAACATTTCTAGCTGGCCCGCCAGTCCTTGCTGAGAGAAAACCAAGGGGAGGAAGGCAAGAGGGTGCAAAAAGCTGAAGTGGATCCCGGAGGATCCTTTCTATTCTCCTGACCTTATTAAGGGCTGGGATTTTCCCTAAGCAGCAGGAATCTCAATGGGTGGGGTGGAGGCAGAGAAGGGAGAAGGGAAATACCATTTCCCTTCAGGGCAAAGAAAATAGTATAAAAAAGCAGCACAAGGAAATGTCACTCCAGTCTCCTAAGTGTGGCTAATCTGAAACACAGTAAGTGCAAATTAAAGACAAAAGCATTTAGCTGTTTTTGTTCATGAATGTCTGTTTTGAGGTAATTGTGACTGACTGCCACATGCCTCCCAAGGACCGTGTCTATCCATGCGTGCAGGAAATGTACTTGCGAGTTGAAGTGCAGGAAGTGCCTGCCTCAGGCCCCCAGCTCAATACTCTCACCTCCTCCTGGGCCCCTCACCCCTCAACCGTGGCCACCCCTAAAGCACGAGTGCTCCACCTGAGGCTCCTTCCTGTCCCAGCAGTAGGGGGTACAAGGCAGGCATTCTGGACCCAGAGGTACAAGGTCGGGGATTTGCTGAGGCCAACAGCTGAGGGGCCATCTGGATGACTACCTAATGGCTCCAGTGTGTAAAAAAACTTCCAGCACAACAGGAAGTGATTGCAGCAAAACCCCAGAAGTGTGCGGAGCTCCAGCCCTGATGGTGAGTCATGGCCGAGCCTGGAGGAAATCAGATGTAAACTTAGAGCAGCTCGCCCAGCTGCCACACCTTCATGCCAAGGGACAGCACTGCAGCCCCCTGAAGTCCACATGCTCAGCACCCCCCTCTTGCGAACAGGTGCCTCCTCCAGCTCCCTCTGTGCCACCATCAGTACACATCATGCCCTGCTTACTATGTACACGTCAGTCACTTTACATTGGCCCTTAGAGAAATCTCTTAATGTGGGCAATAGCTGAGGAGGCTGGGCTCATAGAGGTTGGCTTCCCAGCCCACAGCTGGTGACAGGCAAAAGCAGAGGGTGACCCTGTGTCTGTCTGATGACTAAACCTGTGCTTCTCTTGCCAAACCACAGAGTCCCCCGACTCCTTTATTTCTGCGCTGAAGGAAAAGAAACAAAACATAAAAACCCTTCCCCAGCAGCACCTCCTCATTTTATTTCTCTCCACCTCAGCTCTATACCTTTCAAAACCCACTCCAACTGGTCTCTGCCTCCAAGACCTGGGGCTAGCTGATTCCACTGGAGGCAGCCCTTCCTCCTGCCCCTCTAACTGAATTCTGGCTTCCTCCAGACAGTACCATTCTCCCTCTAGCCCCTTTCTTCTCCTACTCCCTCAATTCAGTAGGACAGAAAGGGAGATGGGATTACTACTTGCTCCCCAAATGATTTTTTAAATTAATGGGACCCCCCTGCACAAATAACTCTTTAGAGACCCTTCCAGATACTCCATGAGCCTTTCTGTCAAATTTCCATGTACTCAGAGATTCACCTACAGGCCCCCCTCTTAGCTGCCTCAACTTTTTTCTTCAGGTCCCACCCTTCCCCACTGGAACTGAAAAAATGGGAATGGAAAACATAGCCTCTGAGCTTCTCCCTCACCCTCCTGTCCCTGGCACATGGGGATGTCTGGACTATCAGGTCTTTCTACTGTTCACCTAGTGGGGAATCAGACAGGCAATAAAATAAACTAAGCTTCACAGACTCCTAATAAGTTATATCTGAACCTCAGTGTAGTAAAGTCTGCCTGGGTCACCATTAACGAGCTAGGCATAAATACATACTCTGGCATCCCAGTCCCAGAGATTCTCCTTGAGTCTAATGCAAGGCAAGAAAACCTATCTTGTTAACAAGCTCTTTGATTCGCTCTCTGATTCTAAGACACAGGGAGTCAAATTAGAGTTGCCCATTGAGGATTCTCAATAACCTTTTGAGAAATATGTTCCTCAGGGATAGGATTCCTTATGTTTGGGCTTTGAGAGTCATTTAAACTTCCACTTAAATCCTAGAATGTATTGGCTGTGTGATTTTGAGTTTCTAGAGTCTCTGAGCCCAGTCTCATCTGTGAGCTGAGGATAATAACACCTATTTCACCAGGTTGCTGAGGTTAAGTTAGGTAGTACACAAAATGCCCAATATATGACAGTCAATAGATAAATAGTGGCTCTCACTGGTACAGTAAGTCACTGCTCCTGCCTTAGGTATCATAGGAGACAGAAGTACATATGTGGAGACAAAACCACCAGAGGCACATTCTTCATTTCTGAGGAAAACCTGGGGTATATTAAGATGTCCCATTAGTTCCAGAAATGACATAACACCTCCACCTCCTGCAGAAACCCTTGCCTCTCCTCCCCTACAGCCGGCATCATCGGTGGTACCTCTGAGGACCACCAACGGCACTTGCCCGCAGCTACGTACCACTCCGTACCATCCCTCTCCACTCTCACAGTGCCCCTTCCTTGCCCTCCGGTGACCCATGGGCATGCAAGCCTTTTGCTCTCTCTGTACTACCAGCCGCCTCGGACTTCACTGGCCAGTTACTTTGGTGACATCCTCAGGAGCTTCCTAGAACCCCATGTCCTTGAACCCTTACCATCTCAACTTTAGGGAACCCCCAGCAGATGCCTTCCAGCCCTACACTGCCAGAGCGGCCTGCACAGTCAGGCAACCAAACTCACACAGCCCTCCTCCCCAGTGCTTTCCGGGACTGGGCCACTGACCTTGCTCCCCTCCCCTGGAGCAGCAGGGAAACAATCCTTACTTCTCATGCCTTCCCTCCTCATGAACTCTCAGCGGATGACATCACCTTCGTTGAAGAAGAGGAACCAGCCCTGGGCAATGGAATCAGGACCCACGTCTGGTCCAGGACTCACCACTAGCAAGCTGGGTGTAATTGTGGAGAAGCCTCTGCACTTCACTTCCCTCAGCTGTGAGGGGGATGTGGAGGCGGGTGACAGAGATCAGATTCCCAGTGTGGTCTATGGCTCACTGCAGGATGTGCAAGGAGGTTCTGTGGAAAGGAGGACCAGTAACCCATCTAGGGATGGAAGCTTTTCTCCAGTTCTCACAGGAAAAAAAAGGTTGGTTTCAATAACTTTCATCTCTAAGTTTTACTGTGGGTTGTTTACTAGTTCTAAATGACTAAAATTTGGTGTCATTTTCATTTTTCTCCTCTCTGGCACTCTATTAACGTGCTGGCAAGTGGGAGCAGGTTAGGGAGGTGGGCTGTGGTCAGAGAAGTTTAAGAACCACTGAGATCATCCTCAAAGCGCCCCGTGTCTAGAATTTTGGCTTGCTGGAATGAAGGCACGCTTGGGCGAGCCCCCTCAGGTTCCCCCTTACACTCCAGTCAATCATCTTATACCCTTTAATGACTTCCTCTCTCTCTTCAGAGGTCAGGCTGCCTTTCCTTTCCTTTCTAAAGGTAGCCCGATGTCACTCCCACCTGCTCCATCATTCCTCAATGATCCCCTCACTTCTTGATGCTTCACTTTACTCCTTTTCTGTTGGCCTTGGCTCTTCACTTACAAATATGCTTAAGGCTATCTTATTCTAAAAAATCCAACAGTCACACACACACACCCTTCCTTCCCCATCCAAGCTTTCCTTAACTGCCCCCTCCACGTAATCTTCTCTTACCAAATTCTCAGGACAGTCTGCCTAGTCACTTTGAGAGTTACCTCATCTGCTCAAGTCCAGGGATCTTTATTTGTGGCCTACATTTCTTTATTTTACCAGTTCTTCTAAATGAACTCTAACCACTTAGGAGAAACCACTTTCCCCCAGAACCTGTTTCTAAGCTTACTAACAGTGGATACATGTATCATTTGTGCTGGCTTGTCCCCAGCCCTGCCTCTTTTGAGTGTCCTATTGACATAGGTATTCTAAGAGGTATCTTGGGAGGGCTTTTCTCCTCTCATCCTGCATATTACTACTCCAATGGCGGTGACTTCTCCATGACTTCTCTCCCAGAGGCCCCTGAAACGTAGTATGCTCCGTGGTTCAGATTGAGGTCTCTGCTATTTTTCCTCTCTGTAAGGAGTTCATTGATATCTCTGGCAGTCCCATTGTGATCTACACAGAGGCTGTGGCAGCCTCTACTGTGGGAAGTGGAGACACACTTAAGTCAGATGAACATGGATTCAACACCGTCCTCCCACTGTGACTTACTGGCTGTGAGATTTCTCTGACCTTCAGTCTCCTTGTGTGTTAAAAATAGTAATGATACCTCCTTCTAGGGTTGTGAGGATTAATAGGGAAATGTATGCAAAGGGCCTACACATAGCAGACATCCAATAAAAGTTAGTTCTCTTTTCCTGTAAGCAGCAACCTCAGAACATAGGCCTGAAACCAGACTCAGACCACTGACCTCCCTGAAACTGTAGATTAGGTTTTGTTTCTGTTTTAAGAGGCAATTCCTTGTTTTTCCCTTTAAAAAAGTTTCCTTTCAAATGCGCCAATATGACTAAGAGTGGTTATCTTGGGATGCTCAGATTAGTCCTTACACTTTCCTGAATTTCTCAAATATTCCACAATGTAATAGTTTTTTTTATATCATCAGGAAAAGGAAATGTTATTTTAAAAACACAAAAACTCCTTCCATATAAAGCAGTTGATTTCACTCCATCTATTTACTAAGAAAAGATCTTTGTAAAATAATCTTTTATTCTTTTGCCTTCACCAAGTGTTCTGCAGCCAAATTTTTTAGGGCATGCCCTAATTCTGTTTTAAAAAGTCAAATTTCATCCCAAAGAAAGATAACATTAAAAGCAAGATTTTCTGCTCCGTTTCCTTCATCCAAAACAGAGGTTCTGTAAATGTGGCCCAGAGGTCAGCAGCACAGAATAACATTACCTGGTAACTTCTGAGAAATATAAATTCTTCGTCCCACCCCAGGCCAATTAAATCAGAAACTCTGGAGGTGGAGCCAGCAACCGTTTCAACAAGCCCTCTGGGTGATTCTTAACTTCGAGAACCACAGTTCCACACCTCCATCCTCTAATCTCTAACGAGCAGTCTTCTCTCACAGCCACATTCAAACCTCTCCCTCCTCCCGCCTTAGGTCCAGGCTGGGTCAGTGCTAGAGGCCCCCAGCAAGCGCATGTGCGCCAGGCCCGCTCACCTTCCTCGGGGCAGCAGCAGCGGGCGGGGCAGCACGGGCAGCGCACGTGGCAACAGCAGTAGCGAGGGCAGCACTGGCACCAGCACACGCCGGCCAGCGCCAGCAGGAGGAGGGCCCCCAAGGTGATGAGCAGCACCGTCAGCCAATCTGCGGGGAGAAGCCAGAAGGGTGGGACTGAGCACACAGGGAACGGCTTCCATTCGACGTCCCTGTCTCATAAATGTGCTCTCGGCCTGCAGCTTGAGGCTGAGCAACAGACTGGAGAGAACAGAACAAAAAAAAGTTTGCTATGATAAAGGAACTTCAGATTGGCATCCAACAATAATAACCTGGGCTTGCCTGTTTCTGTTTTCCTTTTTTCTGTGTGTGAAAGTGTCACGGTGGTAGGGGCCCAACAGAAAGCTCCACAGCACTTACGCAGGACAATGAGCTTCACCTCCTTATCTGGGTCGCCTGACGTGTCCCCTGGAGCTTCAATGGTACAATAGTACACGCCATGGTCCCACCACATCACTTCATTAATCACAAGGTCTGCTCCTACGAGGAAGGAGGGAGACAGGGCCAGTGGTTAAGGAGAGGGCTCTGATTTCTGACCCATGCTACCTTCCAGACCCCAGCATTGCCATTCCACATCCTAGGAGGGCCCTTCGTAGTTCAGTGAAAGGCTCCAGTTCCTTCCTTTGAGACCCTCCTCTTTTCTCCAGTCTAATGGTGGTAGAACTGACCTTTATTGAGCTCTACTAAGTACCTTTAAAGGATTCTGGATACCTCATTTAATTCCCACCACAACTCTCTGAGGGGGTGAGGTAGACATTACCTGTTGTCTCCCAGTGTCTATTCTCCCTTTCTCTCATGGTCATGTGCATGGCCATCCAGAATAAGTCACCATTTCCCATCTTCTATCTTCTGTTATAGATAGACATGGACATGTGACTCAGTTCTGGCAGACAGACTATAAGCAGAAGTATCGCATGCTGGCTCCCAGGAACTTTCTCAAAACAGATGGGAATACCCTTGCCTTTTTCTTCTTCATCTCTCCTTCTACTCTGGTATCTGTAAAGCAAGTGTGATGACTGCCATCTTGAACCATAAGGAAGAAGATATTCTTGGTGAGCTGGAAGGAGCTCAAGTCCCTAAGGATTTAATGCAACAAGAGCCACCACACTAGTTCTGAACCATCTACCTCCAAATGTATACATAAGAAGCAATAAACTTTACTAAGTCACTAATACTTTGGGCCTTTACTTACTTGTAATCAAATTTAATCCTGCTATAGTGGGTATGATTATTAGTTGCATTTCAGATGAGGAAACCAAGACTCCAGGAGGCTAAGAAACATACCCAGAAACGGAGAGATAATGCTTCAGCAGAACTAAGTTCAAACCAATGTTTCTTCCTCAAAACTGGTGCTCTTAACCACTAAAGCTCTAAGGTCCTCTTCAAACTTGGTGGAAACTCCACATCCTGAATCCCTCACCGGCTGTGAACAGACACCTCTAGTTCTTGAAGAGACAGGTTATAAGATGAACTTGAATAAGTAAGGATACAATGCCAATATTTTAAGAGTAAATGTTACTCAAGAGAAGAATTTCAGTTCTTGTGAGCACCAAATGCTGCGCCATGAATATATATGGATGGTATGCTCAAGTTTAGTGAATGCAGTAAATGTTCATTAAAGGCCTTTCACAGGTCCAGCACTATGTCAGACACTGGAGATTTGAAGAGAAACAAGATCCACCTCTACCCTGAAAAGGCTTAAAGTCCAGTTAGAGGTATCAGCACAGCCTCCACGTCACTATTTTGCTCACAGTGAGCACCAGGGGACAGCTTCAAATTCTAAGGATCTTAGCATTATAGACTTGCTCCTGCTTAGTTGGCAGTCATATCTTCAAATTTTCACTATCTGTTTGTCAAGAAATATTTATTGAGGAAATGAAACAAAAACACGAGGTCACGCTCCACTGGAGCTAACTTCAACTTCTGTTTCCTTCTCTTTCTACGTCAATCTCTACAATTTTTTCCTACCCATGATTTTCCAAGCCCACTTACCTTTCCCAGAAACAAATTTACCACAGATTTGGAAGAACGGTGAAAGTGCTCTGGGGCAAATTCTCCATTGTATGGATGTGAATTATAAATCTGCCCCAAGTTTTACTAGAGACATAAAAATTATTTTAGGGGTGCCAGAATAATGAGAGCATCCAGATACATTAATATTTTTAATGATTTGACAACTGATTTTACCAGATCATCTCAAATGAATGCAAACATGGGCATAAAAAGTATCAGAAAACAAGGGCTCCGGGACACTATCATCTCACGTAATCCTAACAGCTCTCCCAGAGAGAGAGAGACTGTGGCAAGTCCCATTTCATAGAAATTGAGGTTAAAAAAAATTGAAGGGATTTTCCAAAGTTCGGACACCCTGTAAGGGCAGAAGAGGGACCCACACCTGAGTCTGCATGCAGAATCAGGGCTCTAACCAGGGAAGCAGGGCTTCCCTGCACTACAAATACACTTTAGACATAGCTCTCAGATATCACATTTGCTGACACTTCAATGTTGGGAGACAGAGGCCAATGTGCCTCTCTTTCAGATGAGGTAAGAGAGGCCAGAGAAAGTATCTGCTGCTGAGCACTGAGCTAGCAAGTAGAGATAACAGGACACCCAGCCAGATCTTTTGATTGTAAGGCCAGTGTTCTTTCCTCTACCAATGGAAGGTGATAGTCTCATGCTGGCCTTCCACCTGGAAGCCCCTTTTGCCTTAGTGATGTACAACAGGAGGGCCCAGAGGGAACTCAGGGATCTGGGGTTTCAGCACACCCTAAGAGCAATTTGTGGAAGGGCTCAAAGGAGCCACACCTTAGCCCTAAATCTCAGGGAAGCAAAGGAAAGCAGCCACTCCCAGACCTTGAGCCAAAGCTGTAGGACATCCTTTCACCCATACCAACTTCCAGGGGAGTGACTTCAGATGGTACACATCTGGCACTCTCCCTAAACAATGACCAAGCGGACCATTAGGCAGCAGAAGAAAAGGGAAATCCCCACCGTGACTCAGCCTCCCGGGCCTGGTGTCTGCGCCTGTTGCTGCCCCAGTTCCTTACTGCCTCCCCCACACTCACGGTTCTGGATGGTGATCTTGCGCTGCCGGTAATCCACCCCCAGCACAGGCTCGTTCTGCCCCCGCCTCTGGGCGACGATTCGAACCTCCCGCTGGCTGTCATTGCAGTCATTGGATGGGTCCTGGCCCAGGGATAAAGCTGCCTGGTATGCTGAGAAAAGAAGACACACCCAAGTCACACAGCAATGGGGAATTCCCAGGAGGAAAGGTGCCTTTACAATCCCCCAAAGCAGTGAAGCATCTCAATTTTTTTTGAGTCTATGCATCCGCTAGGAATCTTGTTCAACAGGAAGATTCTGCTTCTGTAGGGCGGGAGTGAGAAACTAAGAGTCAGCATTTCTAATGAGCTCCCAGGTGACACCAAAGAATCACATATTGAGCAACAAGACCCCAGGCCCCACTAAGAGGCCATCATTTCCCCATCCTGGCTGTATCCCCTGCCTCCCAGTCCACCTTCTCTTGCCTCATATTCAGTCACCCCAGACTTCGCTCCCACAGGATTCATCTACCTGCCCTTACAATCCAAGGTTAAATCTGCCAGGGGCAAATGCCTACCTACTACCCTAGTCTCTCCTACCTTACCCCAGGCATTTTAAGAGTAACCTCCAGGAAACAATGACTCCATTTAGAGAGAGCTATTTTGGGGACAATGCCAGGCTCTGTGGGTGGTCCAGACAGATTTTGGGGTTCACACTGTGAGTCAAGACTAAAAGAGGTTAAAGCTGATGCCTCCCCCTCCGCCCTCCTTTTCTTCATCTCAGGGAAGCTCACTTCCTTCCCACAAACAGGGTGTCTGCTTCTGTTCTCAAAATTTCTACAAGGTAATGTCCCCAGGCTGATGATGGGAATCTCGGTTCCTTTGTTCTTTGAGAGGCAGAGGTGGAGAGCCAGGAAGAACTTTGGTTCCAGGCAGCAGAACTGCCATGAGCAGGGCTGTTGTCTTGGAGAGGCAGAGCTTGGTTAAACATTAAGGGGAGTTGGGCAGCATTATCAGAGGTCCGACAACGATGTGTTCCCCGTGAGGAGCTCTCCATCGCTGAGTGTCCAGTCAGCCACCTGGAAGGTTGGCTGTAGCAGGGAATGTGACGGTGGGTGCGAGGTTCACGAATGGCCACTCCTCAGGTGTCTTGAGGGGTGTGAGAGCCTTCCTGCCTGCATTCTGAGGTGGCGGGGCAATGGGGGGCAGCTCTGCATCCTTATCTCAGGGTACTGGCATAGCCAGGAATGGACTAGGAAGGCAGGACTTGCTGCCTTTTAAAAACACAGGAACTGCTTTAAATCATTTTAGAATGAAGTAGAACATACATCTTAAATAAAACAGTTGTGACCTTGAATAAGTTACTTCATCTGCCTGGGCTCAGTTTCTATATTTCATGAGGGGACTGCATTAAGGGCTCTTTGGGGTTTCTTCTCATTCATAAGGATTTGTGATCCTAAATAATTCCTATGCCCTATGTAGCTGAGGGCCGTGGGCAGAGCTGGGAGGTGGACGGCACTCACACGCAGAGTAGTAGTCAAAGATGGGGTCCTTGCAGAAGGACTTGAAGCGCCACGTCACTACCACGTCCTGGAGCTGCGCGGAGGTGGTGTAGTCACATTTGAGGACAACAGAGGCAAACAGGGTGACATAGCGTTCTGCGTGCTGGACTGTCACCAGCAAGGACAGGCACCCTGTAGATGAGAGTGGGAGACAATGCTGGAGGCAGACCGTGTCTCTGGGAGGTGACCCACTTCTGTTCTGTGCATGGGGAAATAACATGGTGCAAAGCAAACGTACTCCCTGACTGGGAGCCCACAGGCAAAGTCTGAGCTCTTGCTGGCCTGGGCAGGGTGAGGGGTGGAGACCGCACAGGCACCCTGGGGGAGATGGAGCAGAAAAGGAGCAAGGAGCTCATGGTCTGTCAGCAGTAATAACACATCCAACAACAATAAAGAATATGTATTGAAAGATGGCTATATATGTACTGGGATACACCTGCTAATATATATTTTTTCATGTTACTTCTCTTCTTAAAATGGTTTCCCACTTCCCTAGATAAAGCTCAACCTCCTTAACCAAGCCTATGAGGCTGGTCAGGTCTACCTCCAGCCCTTCTCTGCTGCCTCATCTCTTTTCATGCCCCACCTCACGCTCATGGCCTCAGCCACTGTGAACTTGCTTCAGTGCTTCCCATGCTCCTATCACTGTCTTCTCCAGTTCTTCCTGCATGTGGGTCTTTCCATCTGACCTGCCACCACTCCATTCCCTTCACTAGTTCCTTAGGTCTTCAGCTGCACCATCACCTCCTCAAGAAGTCTTCCCTGACTTCAAGTCTGAGAGAGGGGCCTCCCCCTGTTTTCCCGAAAGGCTTTGTCCTACCCCCAGGCAGCATTTTTCACATTTCTTGGTGAAGGTCTGTGTACTATAGGCTCTGAGAAGGCCATCTGGATTTGTCTCTAACTCACTATTCAAACAAACACTTCATACTGGTCCTGTTACCCCCTTGGCATCCAACAAATGTTTGTTGAATAAACAATGGGATGAATGACCGAGAAAACATTAACCAGTGGAAACTGGATGTACAGATACTCAACATAAGCATAAAGCAAGTAAAACAAAAAATAATCAGGCTGTGACAAGTTTTATCAAGAAAGACATGAAGAAATGAATAATTTTTCTTTTTCTTTTTCAAAACTCACTCTCTCTACCCTCCAAATCTGCAGACATACTTTCAGCTCCAGGTCTGCCTTGATGCAGAACCAGGTGGCAGAGAACCATCGGGAGGGACTTTGGCAAGGTCAGAGGTCCACACATAATCAACATCTTTGAATGTTCCTATGTCTATATAGTCTCTAGGCCATGGTAGGGGATCTTTCCATGGGAGGTTTAGTGTAGAGCAACAGGACTCAAACTTGAGTGTGCAGCCCAGGAGGACTTGTAACAGCCCAGATTGCTGTCAGTAGGAGTTTCTAATTCAGTAGGACTTAGGTGGGACCCAAGAACTTAACACTTCTTACAGATTTCCAGGAGATGCTGATATTACTGCTCTGGGCACCATACTTTGAAAACTACTGTTCTCAAAGGTGTAGACTAGATTAGAAAAAAAAAAAAAAGAACAAAAACCAGGCTCTGGACTCAGATACAACTGGATTTGAATCAAACTTTTCTACTTACTTGGTTGGACATTGGACAAGTTATTTACTCACTCTGAGCTTGTATTTCCTCTGCAGTGAATGGAGATTATAACATACCAACTTCATCAGGTCCTTGCGAGAATGCAATGAGATAACCCACCTCTAGCCCTTGGCATGGTACCTAGAACATAGACTGCCATGTTGGCGTCAGTGTGTAAGTCTCTTTCTCACCTTTCCCTGATTACAAGGGCCAAGGAAAAAGGGGTTCAAGCTGGGGTTCTCTCCAGTGGAGTTCTCCAGTAGGGCTGTCTTCATTTTGACTGAGTTACTCCCACAAACAAAACAGATATAGTCACTCCCGTACAGAGCAGCTGGGTGGGCCTGGCTCTCTGGCCAGAGCCACAAGTTTCTGGGTCTTGACTCATCTTCTGGACATGGCCCTCCTAAGACAGTTCACTGTGGGTTCTAATGGGCTCCTGCACCCACTTTTCTCATGTCTATGAAGAGAGAGCAGAATGCTGCTCACAACAGGTTCTGGTTCCCAGAAATGACCCAAGCATGTCCAGAGCTAGGCTGTCATGAGGATACACCTGTGATGGCCATGCAGAGAGGGTCCACAGAAGTGTAGGGGAGACCTGGGACTGGGGTAGGGGGGAGAGAAGAATTCGTGGAAGAAACTGCTTTAAGCTGGAGCAAAAGACTCAGGTAGGTTAAGATTACACAGAAGAAATAGGGAGAGAGCAGAGAAACTCATTATTTCAGGACTGATCCAAGAAGTGAGCAAAGGCCTTTATCAGAAAAGGGCAGTTACTTGGGGAACCAGGTCTCTGGCTTTGCGAGACAGAGGGAAGAAATGAGGTGGGCCTGGTGGTGGTGAGTGGGGTGAAATCTAAATTGCACTCCATAGTCTGTCTCTAGTTAATGGGTAATCACTAACGTTCTTCTAAAGAAGCGTAATAGGGTGAAAGTGGTGTTTTTAGGAATATGGATGACTTCCTTATTCAGCTGTGAATAGAAAAGCAAGATCATTTTGAAAATAAGCCTTAAGTAGTTTGGGAAAAAATAGCTGCTCCCTCTACTACCTGTAAGATTCGTGGAAATCAGTCTAACCAGCATGGACGAGCTGGCAGCTCAAGCCTAACATGGATTATTTCATAATCTGTTTCTTTAGTTTTGCTTCTCCTCCCTCACCACCCCTTTGTTTTTTCCCAGAACTGACCTGAAACAGATCTTGGAGCTTTCACCCAGCACAGCTTTCACTGAATAGAAACAGCTACAAGTAAGATTTTTACGATGAATGGGATGGCACAGTCAACATTAGTTTATTTTGGTCAGTAACATGTATGGATGGGAATAGAGAGAAGAGCACTGATTTGTAGTCTAAACGGAATCCTAGGTTCACATAGCGCTTTCAAATGTCTTCTTTTATACACTAAATATGTTCCCTGGGAGGAAACTAGCTGCACCATTTCATACACAGCGAATCTGAGACTGCAAAAGGAGAATGGTTTATCTGTGGTCATGCATTTTTCAAAGAGTCAAGATCCCATCTCCTGAGCGGCACTCTTGTCCCTCTGCCTGGCTGTATTGAAATAAAGGCGGATGTTTGGCATTCTTCCGCTTGCAAACAATTGGAGTATGGGACCAGGCTACATGGAGCAATAATTACTACACAATTGGCAGCAGTAACTCTGACACTGTTGTTAATAACCTACATGTTCTTTATTGTGCTGAACAGTAATTCAGTCTAAGTAGCAGTTTATTCAGAGGCCTCTAGTCAACATGATTGGTGTAGAGGTGGAACATTTGGCAGCGGAGGGGGCAGGTTTGCTGGGGATCAGAGAGGGAATTTGGTTAGAGCCAGAAGTTGCTCTGGGGTAGATTTGAAGATTGCTGAATCTGACACTGAGGGCGGAGAATGGGGGGTGGAGAATGGGAAAGAGGGTGATCACCTTCATTACCAAATCCTCACTTAGCAACCTTTCCATGAATGCCCTTATTATGGGCAAACCGCACTGGGGTGACATGACTCACCTTCACCTGCGTCAGCACTGTCTTTGCTGTCTGGGTAGGACTCTTTTATTCTTTGATTTCATCCCTTTTGTGAATTTCAAACCTGAAATATATGCCAGGTTCCCATATGTTTTGACCATGCTGTGCTCATTGACACTCCCATCAGGGGTCTGCCGGCCCCACAGTGCCCTGCGCCCTGCGCAGCTCTCAGACTTTTGCCCCTTGCCCACCGCGCCCCCCCCCCCATGGACAGTGGGGAAGAATCCCAGAACAAGGGGGCCAAGCAACCAGTGAACCCTTTCCCTCTTCTCATTTACTGCTCTGGATCTCGGCATCTACTGTATGCTGGGTACACACATACATTGTTTCTAATCTTCACAAAACACTGCTAGGGTGGGACCACCCTGCTCTTATCTGTGGACAAAAGTTCAAAGACTATATAATAAGCCAAGCCCTGTCAGCTACAGGATTTGAACTCAGGTCCTGCTGACCCCAAAACACAATCTTTCCTAAGCAAGCAAGCTTGACCTTCCACATGGAAGTCAGAGCCAGACTCTCAGAAAGCAAGAGGATTTTCCAGATTTGGAGGAAGACAAGGAAGTGGCAAGACAGCCCATCTCAAGGGCAAAATTTTACCCCATACTTCTTTCCCTTTAGCCTCTGACTTCTCTGTAAAACTAACCACATTGGGCATGCACACTACTTATCAGGTGAGGTCTTCAAGAAGAGACCAAGGACAGCAGAAGCTGGGCTGAAAATATGACTAGACTAAAAAAGATGAAGGCCCTGTTTATAGATGTCCCGGTTGCACTGTTGTATTCTGCATATTGTATATTGCACTATGAGTTCTCAAATTCTTAAATTTTCTTCATCCTGAAGTATCTCCTTCTCCTCAATATTCATTACTAATTTCCTAGCTCTCTTCTCCATTTTCTCGTGAAAACTTTAATTCTAAAACATACTTCCTGAGTTAAGATTCTACCTCCACTCCCCCACCTGTTAAAAATCCTGACAAGTTATTTCTAAATTACAGTTGTTTCTTTGCAAAACTGGGATGATGATACTTGTCTGATCAGGTAATAGTGAAGATTAAAAGGAGATAATGCATGTCCCGCATCTAGCAAAGACCCTGGCACGTAACAGACAATAAAATTAGCTGTCATTTGTATCATTTGTACTCATATTGCCTACCTGAAGAGATGGACATAAACTGAGAACAGCATGTAAGCATTCTGAAAGAATTAAAATGATGCAACTGTAAACTGTCATTACTGTTTTCTCTTTGCAAAATGAGTTGCTGCATTAAAGGCTTTTAAAGCTGTGTCACTTTGTACCCTCGCAAACCCTGCTCCTTGGTGTAAGAGGGAGGAAGGGAGACTCGTTGTTTTAGGGTGGAAAGTGAACTTCAAATAAGATGTCAGCGCTCAAGGGAAGGAGGGAAGGGGAAGGGGATTCTCAGTTTCCCGGCATAAGGTACTTTCCAAGACTGCACTGCACGAGGGTGGGGACTACCATCCTACATTAAAGTGGAAGGAAAACATATCAATGAATGATTATCTTTACAACTAAATGCCATGTGTTTCCAAATATATGCATAGCTCTGTACAGTTATTTATTCAGTCTGTCTTCCCTGTATAGATCAGACTGGGCAACAGGTTTTACAGTTTCTAAAACATGTTACCCATATAGCATAGGGATATGGGTGCAAATTTTTTAAAAAAAAGTATTTTCAGGGGAGTGGATGGCATTTCCCTTCCTTTCCAAATGGAGTCCTGCTTGGCAGACAGGGAGGGAGAGCACGGTTTTGCCTGGCAAGGGGCAGTGGCCTAGTGCTAACTCTGATGGAAGGTCTCAACCCCTGCATGTTTTTCAGGCACCCAGCCACCTCTGCTCCACTAAGCAGGTTAACAAAAAGTACACAGGCTTAATTCTATCAGAGTTTATGTCTGAGCAAGTTATCTCCCCAAGTATATTTGCCATGGTACTTGTTACAGTTCCTTAGATAACAATGCAAATATGAGAAGAATCAAGGGGATCAGGGACAGGCAATGAGTATGGAGAAGAAGTAGGGGATCAAGAGAGTTAGAAAAGAAGAAAAGGTGACAAAGAGAGGCGGGTTGGGGCAGAGTAGGAATGATGTCTATGTATTTACATGTTTAACAAAGGTCTGGCATGTGCTACTCAACAGTGCTGGGCTCCGGTGGTGCTCAGCATGTGGCTACCCTGGGGAGGAAACTGGCACATATACTGAGCACCTACCTTGTTGTCAGACATGGCACTGGGTGCTTTATCATACAGTACCTCATTTAATCTTTGTAAAAAAAATCCCATGACATAAGCCTCATTTTTATCTCCTAGATGAAGGAAATCTCCGGGTTAAGTAAATGGCTTCAGGTCATGTAGCTAGGAAGTGGCAAAGACAGTCTTACACTTGTAACTGTAAAACTGCAAAGCCTACACTGCTTCCCTGGACCACCTGCCTGGATAAGCTTTCTCACCATGAAGGTTTAACCCTTTAAGGGATATTCACAAATTTAAGAGACAGTCACAAGTTGATTTTGATCATCTTGTATAGAAACCCTCTTTTCCTTTCTTGTTTATAAACATAAAATAAATAACAAGAAACTTCAAACACTAGAGAAGACCATGTAGTAAAAAGTTCCTCTCTGCTTGCCACGAATTCCACTGCCCATACCACTGTTGACAATTTGGTGTATATCCCTCCACATCTTTTCCTACACTTCAAAAAAAAATTATAGACATTGACTTGCAACTTTGTTTTTCCTTCAAACAAATGATATATTATTATATTCTATGTCAGTGTATATAGATCTAATTTTTGTAGTGGCTGCATGAAAATTCACTACATGAATGAACCATAATTTACCTAATTTCTTAATGATGGGCATTTTTTATAGTTTTGAATTGTTAAATTAGGTGAGGTTTAGCCCATTTCCTTGTGTATCACGGAAGTCCAACATCTAGTCTTGTCAGCTACAGACAATTTATAGAATGCATACCCGACAGAAAATGTAAACCAGAGAACCTTAGAGATACCTATTTTCCAGTTTTCCTACCATTTCAAAGTTCTCCCTTTTATTCTTAGCATTAAACTTAAGCTATTGTAGAATCCTGTGTGATTATTTAGTTATATAGCTCAGCAATTTTCATGTCCTATCAGTAAAAAAAGGAATTCTGCCTGAACCTTCCTGTTACTTTTTCACTCAGAAAAATACAAGACTTCAAACTGGTCTGTGAGCAAACTGAGCTGACCTCCCACTGACAACTCAGAGATCAGAGGGCAGCTATTCCTAAAAGGGGGGAGACGGTAAAACGAAAAAGAACATGGCAGGTTCCTGTTTGTGGCCCACACCTACATCCTAACTGGAAAGGGCTGAAGGAGCCTGCACATTCTGTCGCTCAGCTATCCTTCCCTCGCTGGTCTCCACTGCTGATACACACTCCAGTCATATTTCCAAGAGGTACACTGAGGCACAGAATACCATGCTTTCCAAAGCAGACAGGATTAATGGGGGAGGTTAAGAAAAGGAAGGAGAGGGTGGGTGGTTGGGCATTTGAGCATACTGTGCAAGGCAGAAAGTCAGGAAAGCAGGTGGGTACAAAGAAAATAGAAATGTGACACTGAACATTTAGCAAAGAGCCAAATGCTTTGGTCCTGTAAGATAGATGCTCAATCAGACAGAACATTCCAGTATAGTGAGGACATTATAACCTCCCAGGAGTGAAATAAATGTATTTCTGGGCCAATATGGTTGTCACGGTATCTAAAACCTAAAAGCAAGTATAAGATCACGGGAAAAATTAGGAATTTTAAGACTGGCGTCTCCACCTCCATCAGTTCAGCTGTCCAGGCCAAGAAGTGCCTAATGACCTCAGAAGGGGAAGCCCAGAGGCTCTAGGTTTCTTAGTTGCACCTGTTTCCGAAGGGCCTCTGCTAATAAAAGAGGAAAACAACAGGTTCCCACAGGCAGAAACTCGATCCAGTTCCCGCACCTCCTGCCTCGGCTGCCCTGCCCGGGGCCAGCTCCGCAAGGCCGGGCAACAAGGGCTTCCTGTCTCCTTGCGGCCAGGGTGGGCCCCGCTTTCCCACGGCTCACCTGCCGGGAGCCAGGTGAAGAGCAGCAGCCAAGATGCAGGCAGCTCGGCGCCCATGCAGGCCCCGCTCTGGCCCCTTTCCGCTCAGGGATTCGGGGGCACTAGGTCTTTCTTCCGCAGCTGCCGCCCCAGGACGCGCCACTTGCCCAGGAATCCCTCCGGATTCCCGTCACTCGCCGCAGAGCGGCTGGGGGGCCGGCCTGGGTCCGCCTGCAGGTACCTCCGGGCACCTCGCACCCCAGGGCGCTCCCCGCGGCTCCGCCCCCGGCCGCGCCGCGTTTCCTGCTCCGCCCCGGCTCCCGGAGGGCCGCCGCCACCCGCCTACCTGCCAACCCCTTCCATCCCCCCACCGCGGGCTGCCAGGTGATCCTCCTCCCCGAACACCGGCTCCTGCCGCTCACTCCTCCCGCTTGCAGGACGTTACCATTTTGTCCCCAGAAGTTTTCGGGGAAAGCTTACCCCTAGCAAATTTCTCCTTCTCGCTTTGTAGAATCATGTGGATAGAACTTGTTAGGAAGTGCTTTCTGCGTATATTTCCATTCGCTCATACGTTCTTGGAAAACATTTTTTTCCCCACTAATAAAACGCAGTGAAATGAAGTTTATGTGTGATGTCTGTTCAGGTATTCTGGAAACTAAAGATGTAGGGTATGAACTTGAGATGCAGGGTATAGACTTGATTTTGCACAATTATGTAAGTAACAGGTGCTTATTATAGAAAAATTAAAAAAATATAAATTAATGGAAATAAGAAAAAAACCTGCTCCCACCACCACCCATAGTAGGTATCGTTAATGTTGGTATGTTCCTTTTCACTGTCTCCCAGCCTGAGTGCCCTTCAGCAGCGCTTCACAGATCTCAGGCCTCCCAAGGTCAAAGATTTTAGGTCTCTTTGCACCAGGCCACCTCAGATGTAATCCTGTCTCTCCTTCGTCCTCAACAGGAATCCACAGGAAGGGGTAAAGCAAAACAGAGGAAGAGGGCCCACGTGTCATCAGGAACAACCACCACAATAACTTGGAAAGTCACTTGCACACTTGTCAGTGTAACTAGACAGCCATTTTAAACACCTCTCCCTTATCAGGGATTTTTCACTGTGCTCTCCCTTCTGTAACGAACACAATTCTCCCTCCCAGCCACCATCTTTTTCCTCAAGAAAAGAATTATAAAGATGCATTGAGCCCTTCAGGAAGCTCCTATGCTGGTCACTGACCTTGAAAGTCAGTATTATTTCTCCTAAGTGTGTCTCCTGCCCTGCTCTGCTGTGAAGAATACTCTTTGTTGGTGCTACTGGTATCCCTCAACCTTGTCCACCCAGATGAACATCCTTATCCTGAATCTGATCAGAGACTTCACCCCAGTTGCTTCTCCCCATGTCCCATCCTCCCCCTCCACTTGTAGAGCTAGCCTCTGGTTCCCCAACTGGGCCTTTCCATTTCAAATGTTTTTATATAGCCTCTTCTCTTCCAGAAAGTAGGAAGTAAATTCAGAAAGTGCATGGCCAAAGGCAGATGGTACAGTATGTTAAGGAGCCTTCCCATCTTCCACAGTGGGATCCCAGCACAGCTGCACAGATGGGTATAACGTGAGTGAGGGGTGCACTCCCAACCCCTTCAGAGAGCCTCCATATGTTCCCAGGAACATTGTATATGTTTGAGTCTTTGTGACCCTGAGTGATTTGTGTGGTTCCTGGCTTTGTGAATTGTTCTAGCAAATTTTCAGTGTCAGTCAAAAATAGGATGAGCCCTCTCCTTCCCACACACCTACCTCCCATGTCCTCCAGCCCTTGGTTTGGTGTAAAGGTCATTTTAATATTCATTGAAGCCAGCACTTCTCCATGTTTATTCCATGGAACAGTAGTTCCATGGAATGTTAATAAAAAGAGGATCTGTGGTCAAATAAATTCAAGAAATGCTGGATTAAACTAAATGAAATATTTTTCCAGGATTTATCAAGCCCCTAGGGTGCTACTGGCATACTGCATTTGTCATTATCATACAGAATATGTCATACAGCATTTCCCAGCATTGTCGAACCACAAAACCCTTTTTTCTCACACATAGCTTACGGCAGATGTTCCATGGAACATATTTTGGGAAATCCTGGTGGTCTAAACCAAACATAATTGGGAGGATATGTTGGAGACTTCTATAGGAACAGAAAAGTTACTTTAACAAAGGTTATCCCAAGTGAAGTAGAATTAGAATCCTTATTTTCTTTGGGGAATCACTCATTCAGTTGAACATCTGTCTCCATTGTTTCTCTTAGAGTGAACACTTAGGTTAACTTTATATCTCAGTCTACTACATGCATCTTTTTTTTCCTTCACCACTTACTGTATATTATGTACCAAGCAATGTTGTAGATGTTTTACATGTATTATCTCCCTAAATTCCCACAATAACTATAAAACAGGGAGTGTTATTATCAAGCTCATTTTATAGATGTGGAAGCAGAGGTACAAAGAAGTAACTTTTCAAGGTAACGAAGCTAGTAAGTGGTGGAGTTACGGGTTTAAGTGAGGCAGTCTGATTTCAGACCTCGTGCTCCTAGCTATTACACTATACACTCTCACCAAGCTTTGTCTTGATCTGTGTTTACAGCTAGCTGCTCTATCAGTGTGTGCTAATGCAGTTTCCGTCCACATATGTCATTTAGCTCTACATAAAGAAAAACTGCGTTCCTCTGCCATGATCTCTCCTGGGCCAGTCATTCTGCCAACATGTGCCATTGGTTCAGTGAATATTATATAGGAGTATACATTTGGCTCAGAACAACAAACAATTCTATCATTGCTAGATATAGAAGTTAAAATCACTTGCCCTGTTGATAGTGACTGAGAAAAAAGAGTTCTCTACAAAGTAATAATAATAGATTCCATTCATTAAACATACATACTGTGCTAAGCACTATGCTAAGCACTTTTTATATTAATTTCAATACTTCTTTCAACAACATTATGAGACAGGAGATATCATTGTGCCCATTTTATAGCTGAAGAACTTGAGGTACAAAGGTTAGCCAGGGTCACCCAGCTTGCAAGTAACAAAGCTGAGATGCAAACTCAGGTAATCTGTGTTCAGAGCACGCACCCTTAAATCATTACCCTAGCCATTCTGTGCTTCTTAGTGTCGACTGGTCCAGGGTCTAACTACGAAGTACCAAGCTTATGCTCTCATCATTTATCATTTATATTTAAACCTGCTGGTTGAAACTGTGCCCATGAATGTTTCTGAATATTGTGTCTAAATGTGCATGTGTCTCTATATTTGAGAATAATGTGTAATTATCAAGAATGGAGGAAGGAAATGGCAGGAAAGAAAATAAAGAAATATGTTAGTAAAAATCATGCTCCAGGCAGTTAAAACTAATGGGAGGCATGAAATGAAAGTAGGTAACTGCTGCTGCAACATGTGAAGTATATCTTATTCATCCAAGTATGTCTAGCATCTAGCATAGTACCTGGCATATACCCAGTGCTCAATAAATATTTGTTGCGCTATTTATCCATAGTTCCTGGAGGAAGTAACACTTGAGCTTGATTTGAAAATGACTAAGACTTGGTACAGCAGAGAGCCCAACATGTACAAAAATCACAGCACCAGGAAATAGCAGAGCTAAACTATAAGCACTTTAGTTTTGCTAGACTATAGGGCAAGGTCGGGAGTGGTAGAAAAGTATGTTAAAGATCTAGTCAGGGTAAATAAAGGGCCTTGAAAGAGCTGCTGGAGAACTGAGACTTCATACAGCAGACCCTGGGAAGCCAGTCAAGAGCTTTAAACTGGGTGAAGCATGATCAGACTTGCGTTTTATTTTTATTTATTTATTTATTTTTAAATTACTTACTTACTTAATTTTTTTGGTATCATTGATATACACTTACATGAACAACATTGTGGTTGCTATCCTGCCTTCCCCATGTCCCCCCCACATTATGTGTGCTAATCATAATGCCCCTTTTTCCCCTTATCCCTACCTTCCCATCCATCCTCCCCAGTCCCTTTCCCTTTGATAACTGTTAGTCCATTCTTGGGTTCTGTGAGTCTGCTGCTGTTTTGTTCCTTCAGTTTTTTCTTTGTTCTTATACTCCATAGATGAGTGAAATCATTTGATACTTGTCTTTATCCATCTGGCTTATTTCACTGAGCATAATACTCTCTAGCTCCATCCATGTTGTTGCAAATGGTAGGATTTTTTCTTCTTATGACTGAATAATATTCTATTGTGAATATGTACCACACCTTCTTTATCCATTCATCTACTGATGGACACTTAGGTTGCTTCCATTTCTTGGCTATTGTAAATAATGCTGCAATAAACATAGGGGCACATATGTCTTTTTCAAACTGGGCTACTGCATTCTTAGGGTAAATTCCTAGGAGTGCAATTCCTGGGTGAAATAGTATTTCTATTTTTAGTTTTTTGAGGAACCTCCATAGTGCTTTCCACAAAGGTTGAACTAATTTACTTTCCCACCAGAAGTGTAGGAGGGTTCCCCTTTCTCCACATCCTCGCCAACATTTGTTGTTGTTTGTCTTTTGGATGTTGGCCATCCTAAATGGTGTGAGGTGATATCTCATTGTGGTTTTAATTTGCATTTCTCTGATGATTAGCAATGTGGAGCACCTTTTCATGTCAGACTTGTGTTTTACAAAGATAAAACTTGGCAACAGTAAGAAGAATGGTAGGTGAGAATTGAGATGAAAGGCAGGAAGACCAGGTAGGAAACCCACTACCAATCAAGGTGGGATATACTGATGACTCAAGACTCATTGGTGTTGGAAATGGAAAGGAGAGAATACTTTGGCAGATATTTAGAATGTAGAATTGACAAGACTGATGATAAATTAGATGTGGGGATTAAAAGAAAAATTTAAGTTTCTGATTATTGAGCCTGGGTGGATGGTGACACCTTTAAAGAACATAGATATATAGAAATCACTTCACACACATTGTACCTGAGAGAATAGTAGACCATCTAACTGAAACTCCTATTGGACACATTTATTAAGTGTAACTGGTTGAATAGGGCTAGTGGAACTTCATGGGAGATCTGGGTCAGTAAGGACTGGGAGGCGTACTTCTTGGTGAGATATAACAAGACTCTTCATCTCAAAGTAGGGCTAAAAGCAGGAGGTGGAATCTACTAAAAGTTGTTTGGGAACAAATATGTTTATCGTGACCATTCCTATTCAACATTATGCTGTATATTCTAACTAGCACAATAAAAAATAAAAATTAAAAGACTAAAAATGAAGACCAA